TGGCCATAACCTAGTCTCAAAAACTATTAATTAATGGCTAATCTTACTTTTTTTTTTCTTCATTATTTTTTTCCTCCCTTTCCCTCTTCTCCCAACCCTGGTAATCAACAAAGAGAATTTCCTTCCCTGTGTAAACCTTTCCTTGACTTTTTTATAAGGGACTCATACAATATTTGTCCTTCTGTGATTGACTTCACTCAGCAAAATGTCCTTCAAGTTCACCCACAGGATGAGGTGAGTCACTAATTCTTCATTACTCTTCAATGCTGGATAGTCAAAGTTGTGCACTGTTAAGTATGTACCATAGTTTGGTTATCCATTCATCTGTTGATAGGCACTTAGGTTGTTTCCATCTCTTTGCTATTGTAAATAGTGCTGTGATGAACACGGGTGTGCATTTATCTATTTGTGTCCTGGGTCTCACCTCTTCATGATATATTCTTAGTAATGAGATTGCTGGATCAAATGGTATTTCTATTTCTAACTTTTTAAGGAAGCACCATACCATTTTTCAAACTAGTTGTACCCTTTTCCAGTCCCACCAGCAGTGTATGAGAGTTCCAATCTCTCTACATCCTCGCCAGCATTTGTTGTTTTCTGTCCTGTTGAACTTTGCTATTATTGCTGGAGTGAGATGATATCTCATTTGGATCTTTCTAATGGCTAATGATCATGAACATTTCTTCATATGTCTGTTGGCTGTCCTGGATATCTTTTTTGGTGGAGTATCTGTTCATATCCTTTCCTTATTTTTGAATTGGATTGTCTTTTTGATGTTGAGGTGTTGAAGTTTTCTGTTTGGACAACCACTTCAGTTAATGATAAGACAGCCCTATAAAGACCTGGCTGAAAACTGGGAAGATATATAATTTAGCTACTGTGCTATCATCACCTCTTCATCCTATAAGGTACTCCATTTTGCAAGGAATTCATCTCTCACACTATAAATAATATCAGCATAGGCAAAAACATTTTCCTAAATATGTCCTGAAAAAGAGCAAGTATTTATATGTGAAAGATTGTATAAGTGTTATTCTCCGTTGGAATATGAGGTATACAAAAGGGTAGCATCTAGAAAAAGGTTAAAGATGGCAGAAAACATAACATAAACCTTAAATAAATCCTAGAAAGGGATATGTAACATGAAATCATTCAACTTATTCTCTGAAATGTATTTTATAGTATAAAGCCAAGCCTTCCTATTAATTTCCCTGGTTATTCCAACAACCTCTTGCCTCTAGCATAATTTTTCTTTAGTAAATTGTACAAAATTATTATTCTCTTACCCTATCTTTCCACTCAAACCACTTTGTTGGCTTTTCCTTGCACATGACTTGCGATCTCCTGTCTGTGTTCACAGACATGTATTACTTTCTTCACCCTTTACCCTCATTTGTCAGTGTGATTCTTCCACCCTGAAGTCTTCACAATCATTCTTTGATTAATCTAAGTTCACCTTAATCATACATTTTTTTTTTAATTTTGAGTTACATTATTTATATTAATTTTATTTTCATATTAGCTTATTATACTTTTGAAAAAGTTCTTGTTTAAGTTTGATCCTTAGCTCTAAGTATATTAAAAACATTAAGAGATGAAAATGATTTGTTTATTTTCTGTCTTTTTCATCAAAAGATTCAAAGTAGCAAGAGAATGATTTGTTTGTCACCTTCCATAATAGCTCAATGTGCAATACATAGCAATGATTCAAGTTCAAGTTGTTGATTTACTAAAAGGTGAACTTCAATCATTGATGAGAAAACATAAGATATAAATCTCTTTTCCTTCTTTACCTAAAGATTTAGAATGAAATACTACCAAAGGTTTATCAGATTATTAATTTTAAGAGTTTAAAGAAAAAAAAGTTTCTTAGGGAAACAATATAGTGGAAGAAGGAAAGATGCTAACAAAATCAGCATGCCAATAACAGCAGCAAGTAATTCAAGGTATAGAAGGGAAGATAATTCACATTTATAAAGTACCTACTACGTGTTAAGACGGAAGGAAGGTTGGGCAATCTACTT